AAAGCAGAAGGCTGCGGGAGCGAGGCAGAGAAATACTGGGTGAATAATAACCTGGCAGCATTGTTTGCCAATTCGTATAGAGCCTGAATGCAAATTAGCACACGTTCATGGGTCCAGAACTGAAAAGAAATGAGAACAAGATGAAAAGCAATGGCACTTCCAGCCAATCCCCGTCTTTATATAAATCTTGCCTCCTCCCCCCCAGATGCCTCCCCCACTGCCCCTTGCCAACTCAGAGGAGGGTAGAGGTCTAGGGAGCGCTGGCGTGGCTTGGCGCTGGGGCTCCCAGCTCAGCAAGCTCTGGATCAGCGCTCAACTCTGGGTGCCCCTTAGAACTGCCAGGGGGGCTTCTGGGAAATGCCCAGGTGCCACCCCAGACTCTACCTTCTGGATCTCCAGGGTCTGGGGGCACTGGCTTGGGTGTTTTCAAAAGCTTCTGAGGGGATTCTCGTGTGAAGCCAAGGTTGAGAACCTCTGCTCACACCAGTGGAATGACTGTAGCTCTGCTCATAACTGCCTGATCCTTTATCTGAGCAGAGCTGCCAATCTGCCTCACCAGACCTCCACGTGCCTATATATTTTCATTGATGAACAGCTGCTCACCTCAGGCATGGTTCTCACTCTCTAGGTTGTTAGAACTGGGTTAGGTATTAAACCCGTTCACTGGTCTGCATGTCGGCAGGACCAGTCTCCTGAGTCAGGCCCTGCCATCAGCACCAGGGCAATCCTGGCCTTACTTAAAAGGTAAGCTTTTCCAGGGGACTTTGCTTCCAATCTAAATTAAGATTTCCTCCTTAAAACATTCCTGTTTTCACAACTGTAGTCATAGGGAAGGAAGGAGATAAAATTAAAGGAAATCAACTGTTGGCATTTCTGGTTTTTGGTTTGAGTCAGTTCCCTTTTTGTTTTTACTTGATGCCATCACATTGTATCAGCATTTGCCAGAATATTTTTGAAATGCCCTTTTTCTCCGGCTTCAGTTCAAGAGGAAGTGGTAAAGGCCAAAGACTTGGCCTACTGATGGCATCCGCCCACGTTTTGCACAAAGAAGATGCGATCTCCCCGCTCAGACCTCCAAACCCCCCAGGCAGCCCACCACTCACATTCCAAACACCTGAGGCCTGTGCTGAGAAATCCTAGGTTGTATTTTCAGTTTACTTTCTGACTTCAATAAGTATTGACTGCTCGGTTTTCTCCAGCTCAGTTTTCCCACTGGAATAATGGGAATCTCTGTCATCCACTCACAGGGTGACAACTAACTTGTAGACATTTGAGGTCTTTGGATGAGAGGTATTATTGTTTATAAGTACAAAGGATTATTATTTAGTTATCACTGAGCTTGCAAGGTATTCATTCACAAACAGTTTTTGGAAGAGAGCTTTAAGGAAGGGCAATTCAGGGAATTGATTTCCCCTCCCCTGGCTGCCCACCCTTCTTGGCCATGACTCCATCAATGTGACTGCAGCTGGGCGGACAGCTGGAGAGACCTGTCGCCTTTCTGGTCCCTGCTGCCATTCTGCAATGTCTCTTCTGATGGACACTGTGAACAGGGCATTAATTCTCCGGCCCAGCTCTGGCTGCTATGAGGTGTTAAGACTTGGACAGCGGGTTGGAGAGAAGACTTAGTTGGTTTAAAGAAGTAAAATGCTCCATGAGCTCATGAGCAGAGCAACGGAAACCTGACCACCGTCCCTGGAGCTCTGGGGGCTTCTAACCAGAGGCTGGCCCCTTGTAAGCTGTCACACTGTAGAAAGAGAAGATCTTTGGCTAAGGTAGAGAGGCTGGTTGATGCCAGTGACTGTACTGTTGTGGAGAGGCAGGGTGCAGGAGACCTAGAAAGCTCTCTGGGGCTCCCCTGCTGGCCTCCGAAGACAGGTTCCCATCCCGTTCAGGGAAAGAACTTCCCATTTGTCCTGTTGTGTGCACTATTGAAAGGAAGCAATATTTAGAGCTGATCTAAATCCCATTCTCTGCAATTTAATTTCTCCAAGGCCCAGAAATCCATGCATAGGATGTAAAGACCAGGCCTTTCTAATGCTGATGTGTAAAGGGAACTGGGCAGTAGACAGAACAAAATTTTTGCTGTTGCATTATGGAGGCCATGAAAGTGGATTATAATGAGACTTAAAAATCCCTTAACCACTACTGTTTATGTACTCCTGCCCAAGGAAAAAAAAGTTGCTGAAGCAGAAAAATGCTTCCCAAAGGAAAAATCAGTTTCCTTGTTGGGCGACCTGAGAAAGTTACCACAACTCCATTCAAAACCTTCAGGCACTTGACTTTTTTTTTTTTTTTAATATCCTTTACCTTTTTAATAAAAAGTAAAAAACAAACAAAAAAATACATCAGTGTCCCGAATAGAACCTCTCTATGTAAAGGTGTCACTAAACAAACATAAGACCAGACTAAAGAAATGAAGCTGTGAATAGCAATATGATATATTATGAAGCATTATATATGTATGTATATATTATATATGAATGTGCAGGTGTATGTGTGTGCACCTATGTATGTGTAAATATGTAAATATTTGCCTACATACGTCACACACACACACACATATATATTTATACTGACCTCTTTAGATTGAAGTCCAAGGCACTTTTTACAATGAACAGGTTAAAGCCATTAATTGAGAACATAACTGTTTCTGGGTACATATCGATTTATGGCGCCAATATTACAATTCACATCTTTCTTTGCTCACCTTAGAGTGTCTCTGATTGGTGTGATGAATAAGAGAACTGGTTTAGAAAGAGATTAGGAATGTTTCTAGACGGTTAGACTAACCTCTCTTGCTAGTTTCCAGTGGGAGAGAGTTCCCGCTGTTGGATGCCGAGTTTCCTGAGAAAGGAATACTGATACAGCTATTTCTGTCCTATGCTGAGCAGTAACTTAAATGGCCTTCTGGGGGACCTGCCCTGAGGGTCCACTCGATATTCTAATGGCCCTGCCAGATAGGCTACAATGAAAACCCTAAAGAGGGGCTTTGAGACAGCTGACAGCTAACAGCTATGAAGTGAGCATTTAAAAAATTAGACTGGAAAAAGCTAGCCTGTTTTTGTGTACCCTTTAAGCTATAGGACTTTCAGTGGAACTTTAAGACGTGTTTTTTTTTCTTTCTAATCATACAGGACCTTTACTTCTTCAAATAATTCTGCAAATGAGGAGCAAGGAAGAAATGGTTTAATTTTCCGATTATTAATGATGTTGGGACGCGAGGCCAGTGCTTCTCAATATTTAATGTGTCTACAGATCACTTGGGGATTTTGCTAAAACACTGAATTTCATCAAGTAGGTCTGGCCTGGGACCTGAGATTCTGCATTTCTAATGAGTTCCCCAGTGATGCAAATGCTGCTGGTCCAGTGGACCACACTCTGAGTAGCAAGGGTTAGCATATAGCCATATAGTTGAATTACTGTCAAGAAGTTTGCTTTCCCCAAATCAGGAATTTGTATTGGTTTCCTTGATCTAGATTGAGTAATAGCTCTGAGGGGGAAAATCAGAATATATTTGCTCTCTATAATTGTAAAAGTCCTAGTCAGTCTGAGAAGCAATGGAAGGAAAAGCTGAAAAACATAGTTCTACTTAGTAGCAGAAAAGTAGTATGAGACAACTCAATTGCCACCAGTACATTCATCAGTCAATTATAAAATTGAGAATAAAGTAATTCCCATTACCCAGTGAGTGAGTAACCTGCTAAAAACAGGTGCCCTGGAGTTCTGATGGCTTTAATGGAGCTCAGTCTAATATATAAGTGAGGAGCAGTACAAATGCTGAGAGAATTTAGCTCAATAAAAATAAAATGTGTGTACAAGTTAGGTCTCAGCTCCACAAGCAGATTGAAGCTGGACATTTAGATATTTCTCTTTCAGACAGCATAACTACTATTATTGAGGCCCAAGACTTATCAGTATGTAAGCTCAAATAAATGGAAGTATGAGAGGATTCCAGCCTTTTTCCCAGGAGAAAATCTGTTGTTTTGCACAATCAGTGTATCTGTGTGAATTTTCAGTTTGTAAAGGGAAGAGGAATGCCTGCTCTGTTAAACAGATCCTGAAGCTACTTAGTTTGTGCCTGTGTGATATGACCCCCAAGTAGTGATAGCAAATGAGGAACCCTCTTGGGAGGAGGCCCATTGATTCTAGGAAACCTCTGTTCCGTGACCAAACACATCCTCTTTTCATCTAGAAAGAGCCCCCCCATCATTCAAAGTAGGGAAGTGAGAAATTCTCCATGTGCGTCTCAACTGCTATATCAGAGAAAGAGGGGGATAGATTTCATAAGTTCCTTGAAAATTTTCCTCAATTTTGCCAATCAAGAACACATCTTGATTGAAACTCTTTCTTTCCTCCCAGCTAAAGTAGCCAAAAAGGAAGTCCTGCCTCCTCTCTAATTCCCTTAGGACCTGTGCCATGTTATGGATAAACATGTGGAAACCTAGCTCCCTTCAGGCCACTGCCAGCTCAGAAAAGCACATTTGCACCTGGGGCTCTCACTGGGCCCTGTATGAATAAAATTCTGATCCTGATTTTACCCTGACCTAGAGAAAATCATATTGGTGAGAATTTTGAGTCTTTTGTATCATAGGAGAACAAGATTCTTCCCTGTGCCCCATTCTGACATTGCCAAAGGAAAAACTGGTTGGCTGAGTCTGAGATTTATATAATTTATTCAATGGGGCCTCTGCATTTATGTAGAAAGAGCCTGCGCTTATTAAACGGGTTTTGCACAGCTGCTAAAGGAGTGATGGCTTCTAAGATCTCTTCTGAAATGGCTTGATAGAATTTAGGGTAGAATTATTCTCCTAAGCTTGGAATACTGTTCTTGTGTGTCTAACAGTCAGGTCTTGGAGAATTAGAATATGGCAGTTCTGTAGGCTAAAGACCCTTGGTCTGGGTGTCAACAGTCACTAACAGTGATGTGTACTCAGAAACAGTCGTTGAGAGAGCAGGCTGACACTCAGCCTGCTGAAGACTAGTTTGATACAAAACATTAATTGAAAGTTACAATATATTTTATAATATAGCAATATATTTCATATTTAAAATAAACCGTTATGCTTTCTCCTATCATTAAAAAATAGCAAGCAGTACAGAGAGGCAAGATGCAAATTCATGTTGAAGCTCATCTGATTCTGAATATAAACACTTCAGTTTCTGAGTTTGCCATGAAAATGTTTCCTCCGTTAACATCCTGTTTCTCTCATTTGTTGTTCTCTTCTGGTCAGTGCAGAATGGAGAATCTGGGACCAAAATTGAGTTGTTGTTTCATTAAAAAGTATGTCTGATGAAGGTGAATCAGTCCCGGTTGAGATTCAAAAACAGAGACAATATGACACAGCTGGAGAATGTTGTTCATTCTCCGACCTTCTTCTGTGAACTTGGACGTTGGCTGTTCCAATCAGATTCATATTTGATTTGTCACTGATTTCATTTTCTTCTTCTTTTTTTGTTTTGGAGAGGGGGGGCTATAAATTCAGCCACTCTTTGGGATCCTAACTACAGGTTGGTGTTGAATTTTGTGCTTTTCCTCCATCAGCTTGGTTGGTCACAACATCTCTTTTGTTTGTTTCAACACATGGTCCCAGCCCAAGATTACAGCTTTCAGAATGTATTTCTCAGGTGTGTAAACAACGGTCACAGGGCACTTGGCACCTAGATTTGGAGGTCATACGTTGAAGATTTGATAATGGTTTTGTTCAGAGGGAACTCCAGTTCATGTTTGGGCGTTTCCAGTAATGGTGTAAGGAAAAAAAGATCACAGTTATTTTTTTTCTCTATCTGTATATATTTATATACCATTGCACTGAGTACTTTTTAATAAGCTTCGGTCTATTTCAGTAAAAATCTACATATTACTTGCCTGACGGGAGTTCAATGTTAATTTCTATTCATGCGGCCTGGCATAAGTTTTCGGGATGAAGAGTACTCACCCTGTTCTCCTACCAGAGGCAGACCGTTAATATTGCTATCCCTTTCTTAGTGGTATCGATGATCCCATTCCCATAATGTTTACTTTGGCAGCAGGAAGGAAGGAAGGACACTGTCCAGGGAGTCATCAAGCTAACTGGAGGGAAGAGGTTGTTTTCAAGTCTACCAGGAAGCCACCAGGTAGCTGTCTAAGGTACTGAAACCAAACGCCACAGTCAGTAGGGACAGCAAGATGACCGCGAACGGATCCTTGATCTGCGTCTAAGCAACTTCCAGGAAGTAGAATGACTGTATGGAACTGGGGACATATTTTAGGATTGGAAAGCAGAATTTGAAAAAGAGTAGGAACCTACTGGTAGTGCAATGACTTAATAGTGTCTCAGCTGGGGTTCTATGATGGCAACACCATTTAGTTCAGATGAAACACTGATTCTTAATTTGGGTTGTGTTGTTTGTTGAGGTGCACTCTGAAGAAGGAGAGGGGTCCTGGAACTATGTGCCCACCCATATTTCTCCCAACTAATTTCACTATCTAGTTGATATGTAATAATTACTTTTTGGTAACTGTTGACTACATTCAGATGCAACATCAAAGTATGGTCTACATAGAGTTGCCTGGGCTGCTGTTGATGACACTAATGATTCCATTTTTAAACCTATTGAATACTTTGTACTTAAGAATATGAACTATTATTTTCATTTTAAGTTCAGAGAAATTGAGGTATGAGGTGGTTATATTAATTAGCCAAAGAAGTGGATCCAGTGTTAGAGTTTTATTCTGATTCTGTATCTCTAGTTTTCTTCTTTTCCATGGTTATTTATTCATGAGGAAATTACTCAAAATCTAAGGAGTAAATCATCAAGTCTATTAAAAATACTATGTCTTCAATGCTGTTCCTTCTTGGCTTTTAATAAATAACAATAGCTTGCACTTGCTCAGCATTTTAGACTTTACTTGCACATACCTCCTAATTTTACAAGATTGTTGTTACACCACTGGTACTTGCTGAAGTCAGAAATTAGTGGTGACTCAGGGCCTTACCCCTTGTGTTCTTTTGGATATTAAGCATTTCTAGAGATAGGATGTCCCAAAGTTACATATTATGAGGATGGCAAGAACAGTTCATAGACACTTTATGACAACTTATTGATGATGATCGCATATACGTGGCCTTTGATCCCAAGATGCAGATTTTTATTTGGACTTCAATCTAAGGAGGAGTGAGCCCCTAGGCTGGTTTGATTTACCAGCTGATTCTATGTCCTGAAATCCCACTGAGATTTGTGGTCTCTAAGTATCACAGTACATCCCTGACTTTACAGTACATGAAGCTATAGTATGGCTTAAGCGATGAGGGGGTGGCTCTGTATTTTTACTTCGGGTGTCTAGATATTTTAGGGAATATTAGGGTACTTTTACCTGTCACTTAGTTATCAGCAAGGTTATAATAGGGGCTCTGCTGCTGAGTCAGCCCTCCAGGAGTGGGCAGAACTCAATCTGTTCACTGTTCAGTGAGGTTATTGTAATTAGTAGTTTTTACATATAGCCAATTCTTGAGTAGACAATGAAAACTCCACCACCAAACTTGAAAATAAGGAAAAGGCATGATAAGAGAATCCACCTGCCCCCTTTTCCATTCTGATTGGGATGCTGGGGTGCAGCGGAATTAGCCAAAAGATGGGCTATAGGAATAAAATGTAGGTGATCTACAGCATGGATAATCAATACCTAAGTCATCAAGGATTGATTGTACTTGCAGGAGAATGGGTAACTTCCCCCCACAAAGCTGAAATACTAGTATAGAGAAGCAGCCTCCCATTTACCATTGCAGGATCAACATGCAGATTCGATTGGGGTTTTTTGAAGGTTAAGTATTCTTTCACCAAGAATAAAAACCATACATAGCTATTGCACTACCAATAGGTCAAATCATGCCACAAATACCCACATTTTTCTAGGATGCCAGTGGTTACTGCTACTGGAAATAAATCCAGCCACTCTCTTTAATAGTGTTAGTAACTTGGTCTTCAGGGCTTACCTAAATGTACAGCATTAATGATGGGTGAAAGAAGAGTGATCCACACAACAATGGATCAATGGTCTGCACACACTTGTGGGCAGGGGAAGTGGCAGTGGGATCTTGCATATCATTTATTTGAGATGAAGACTAAATCCCTATTTAGGTGCACATGTACACACACACACACACACACACATATCACAGGGTTACAGCAGATGGAAAGGGTGACTAGGAATGAATAGCTGACGGCTGTAGGTTAAATGATCAGGTTTGGCATACTCAGGTTGACCTGTCAGTGGTCTCCACTTCATGAAATGGAACTAACACCACAAAGAAATGGCATGGTTATTTCATCTGTTTGTATGTTTGCCTGAATTGTCCCCGAAAACAGGAGCACCATTCTTGGGACTTAAAAAAAAAAGCAGGGGGATCTTTCAGATAACCAGTAGTTAAAAGAACAAGTAAAAAGCTTAAAAAACCAACAGCAGGAGTGGCATCTGTGGTGTGCAAAACAACCAAAGAAAATGTACAGAGGAGCCATCAAAATGAAAATGAGGCCATTAAAGGAACAACAGCAATAAAAAGAGAGAAAGAGAAGCTCAGAGAGAGACCAGATCCTGAAATAGTGGCCTTCATTCTAGGGTTGTCTACCTTTTTCTGCATAATGATTCCCTTGTCCTTGGAAGGCCCAACACAGCACTGCAGAAGAAAACTCCACAGCCAGACGCTGCCTTTGGAATGGCAATGATGTCCTGTACAAAGTGAAACCCCACTGGGCAACCACTTGCAAATCACCCCCCTTTTATTTTACCCTAAACAGATGAAATATTTCCTGCAGTATGAGTGAGCATCCCACAGGCAGAAGTCAACAGCCCTCAGCATGGGAAACATGATGAATAACACAATGGCCTTCGCGTCACAAATGTCACGGGTGGTCAGATTATGGAGCAATGGAAAATGTTTGCATCCACATGCCCTCTCCTCACAACGCCTGTCACAACACCGGATTGTGATGTTTCTGAAGCCACATGAAGTTTGAGAAAAAATTGGAACAATTTTTGCACCAAGATTAACATGGCACAGTAGGAAAAGGCTACTGACAAATCCATGCCATCTTACCTTACCCACAAGGTCCCCTAAGGGCTCCCTGTCGTCTCATCTGTCATTTGGAGGTGATTTCGGGTTAGGTGGAAGGAACCACATGGGCCACTCACCATCACTTGTCCTTTCAGCTCAGCAGCATTCGGGTGAGGCTCTTGACCCCTCTGCATTCCTAACATCTAGGCCTGGAAGCCTGTTGCTGGATAAACAGAGCTGAGCAATCCCAGGCAATACTTTTATTCACTCAGATGTTACTGGGTCACACCCGTTTGTACATGTGTGCACACACAAGCACAAATCCTGTCCCTCTTGCCTGCCATACATACACCTGGTCGTGTGCCCCACTGGAACACAGCTTGCTCGGGTATAAGAAGAAAACTCTGCAGAAGCTGTTATTTTTAGACGGCTGCTTATCCCTCCAGGATGCCAACAGTTTGGGCTTGGCAATCATCTCAAACCGTGTGGTGCACATCCAGGGTGAAGAAACCTGTATTGTGCTTGAAGGGACCTGCATCATCAGGGAAGGTCAGAATGTGGCCAGTACTAGCAAACTACCAGGACTGGAAGCACCCACATTCAGATCCAACCAACTCAACACACACTTGGAGAGGGTCTACTGTGTGCAGGGTAAGGTACCAGGTCCCTGTTCATTTAGGTCAAATTCAAACAAGAAAAGACCTGGGTGGAATGTGGAATGTGTGTGTGTGTGCGCGTGCAAATGGGTGTGTGTGCGCACACTTGCAGACACAGGTTTATGTGGGTATTAACATTGGATGGAAAATCTGGCTTTTCATTTGTATTTTTTTTTTCAGTCTAAATTGGATTTTATGACTGTGTAAGGTATGGGAGAGAAGAACGTCTGTTTTGGCAAGCTGTAGGCAGCTCTCTTTTACTTTTGTCATCTGCAGGCTTCCTTAGACAAAAGGAAAGGAGAGAAGTGTGCTGGAGGACCCAGTGGTGAGGAGCCCATCCCCCAAGCCTGTCACGGCCCCCTCCCCTGGCAGGACCCTCTCCTGGGCCGGCTTCACTGTGCACTGGCTACTTCAGTGCACCTGACCCCCCACCCCCCCATGTGAAGACCTGAGATTGAGCGTGGATTTCTGTTCTCCACCAACTCGGCAGCAAGGGCCCTGCCAGAGCGTCGCTTCCTGTCATCTCCTCTTCCCGCTCCCAAGTAGAGGCACCTAAACAGAGATTAGATTTCTGGTTTCAAGGCATATCGAACCAAGCACGCTGAATGAACATGAGTTAGTCAATTAGCTCCGTCTCTCTTTTTTAAGTTCCCTGGTCTGATTGTTCCTTGATGGCAAAGTGACCAGGAGAGAGTCGATTTGCATCTTAAGACCTATGGGTAATGCTTCTGGAGTGGGGAGTTTTATTTAGCAACTGCTTGAACTTGTGTACGGGGTTGGGAAGGAGGTGGAGCTGACCCCGATGGGGCTGTCGGAGAGCGGGGTGTGGGTGGTGCCCACTGCCACGCTGACACCCCGGGCCTCCACGGCCGCAGACAGGAGCTGGTGCTGCTGCTGACGCAGGGCGTCTGCGATGAGCAGGGGCAGGGAATTGAAGCTGGCCGTGAGGTGCTCCAGCTTAGACTCCAGGCTGCCGATTTGCTTCTCCAGGTCTTCGCTTCGATCATTGAGTTCTGTGATTAAGTCATACATGACATTCTGCATCTGCGTGGAGAGACAGAGATGAGAGACGGGGAGACAGCGTGTCATCAGAAAGGAACCTGCAATGGGAAGGATGGAATACTCCTCCAGGTTACAACGCGAGCGGCTTCCGCACCAGCCGTGTCGGATCCGGCCAAGGAAGGAGAAACAGCTTACTTTCCAGGAGACATGGAGGCTCAAGTGGGTGAGTTAGTACTAACGTAATGCATATGAATTATAACAACATATTAGAAAATACATATAATGGAAAAGAAGCAGTACTTTTTCTTAAGTGGAGCCAGTCTCTACTGTGCTCACGTTCTCACTATAGCCAGTTTCTCAGATCATGTGGCTGCTGCGCCTAATGATTAAAGAGAAGACTGTTTTGGGGGCGAGGAGGGGCGGGCCATGCAATAGACATAATTGTCAGGTCGGGGTTCAAGCAAGTCTGCAGCTCTCTAATAATGTGCCCTCCTCAGGCTCCTTAACCTCTCTGAACTTTGGTCTTCTTGTAAGATAGGAGTTAATGATAACTACACATAGTGAAGTTACTGCCCCGCCTGTCCATTTTCTACACAGCAGCCAGAACATACCAGGTACAGCATAACTAATTCCTCCAGCACGGCCCGCAGCCAAGCGGCGCTGCCTCCCTGAGGTTACGGGCTCTCCCCTGCCTGGTGAGTGAGGAGGGGCATCCTCCTCCTGGGACATCCCTGAAGGATCAGTCCCCCCACAGAGCTCCGGTGGTCGTGGAGGCCTTTGTGGATCTATCACACTCACACGCTCCCTCTGCCCCCTACCTGACGCTCACTTCCTGACAGGCTCCCCAGGTAAACCTCCTGGGCTCCATGTTGTCTCTCTGTCTGCCAGGGACCCTCCCTCACCCACACATCCCATGGATGGCACTCTCACCTCCTCCCGGCCTTCCCTTAAAAGTCACCTCCTCAATGAAGCCCCACCCAAACCCTGCTTAATACACCTTGTCCCACCCCCACTTCTGATCCCACTAACCCTGCTCAGCTTTTTTCTTTTCTTATCTTCCTTGTACTGCACGAGCTAATTTGCTATTCCCACTGCTTACTGCTGTTCTCTGTCATCTCCCACTAGCAGGAAAGCTTCTCCAGGGCAGGGATCTTTGCCTGCTGGGTTCAGGAATATGTCCCAAGGGCCTTAAGCAGAATCTGGCACATAGGAGATGCTCAACTAACATTGTGTGATGGGCAAATACACATAAACATGCTTAGCAAGGGGGTATGTACCTGACTGACACTAAAAGATGTTGGTAGAACAAGTGGATGAATACAATTGCCACCCACTCCATCCTTTGGTCAAGGTAGGAGTTTTACTGATGACGAAAGGCCCTTTGTGCCACAGATGATGTCCATAGACCTAGAGGTTTGTCAGTGTTTACCACCAAGACCTGAGCGGCTGAAGAAAAGGCAGGAAGACCCCCAAGGGAGGCCAGTCCCGGGCACCTCTGTGGAGCAGGTGCTTCGCAAACACCTGTGATTGCACATTGAAGGAGTTTGTGACAGCGGGGGAGCCAAACTGGGGTTCTCCAGGGAGCTGAAAATAAACTAAAACTTAAAAGTAATCAAATCAACTTGCTTCTGAGAGTTAAGTCATAAAACCAGGTCAGACTAGAGCCAAAGGGAGTTCACGCCCAGTGGGCCATTTTCCTTCCTAAATCTGCTCTGTGCCAACCTCTCTGCCTCCAGGAGAGGCGCTGCCATTCCCTCGAGTTGTCCCGGTATCACCCTTTCCTCACACGCTCACCTCCTACCAGAGCAAAGGCCTGCCAACTCCACCTCTAAATATCCCTCAAATTCAATTCACTTAATTGCAACTAAACCACTTTAGTTCCAACCAATACCATCTGCTTATTATGCACTCAGTATAGTTTTGTGCCGTTGTTCTGACACCACTCTTACATCAGGCAACTTTCTGATTATAATCTGGCTTCCGGGCTTGGCCTGTAGAACACTCATCTATGTGACGGCCATATTTCTTTCTGAAAATTAAATGACATCAGAATTGGGAGCAAGATTCATGGGACTCTTCGCGGTCGCCGTGTTCCTGTGGCTGCAGTGGCAGAGGGCCAGATTGGCGGCTGCCTCGTCCCCCTGCTGTGTGGCACTGTGGCTCTTGGGGGTTCTGGTCATCTGCCAGTGACACCCTGATCCTGTTTTGTCTGAAATTTCAAGTTCCTCCAGGAGGATGCCGAAGCCATTGGTGCCCCAGGGGCCAATGGAGGAGGACGCAAAGGAGAGGAAAAAAGAGGCAAACGGAAGGTGGTGATGGGAGAAGCCAGGGAGGAGGTGAGGGGAAGGGGACTGAAAATGCTGACATGCCCCACAAGGCATTGCCTGGGGCGCCAAAGGAGTCATCACAGGGGCAGAATGAAGGCAGCTCTGTGGTTGTGAGCACAGGACCCTGTATCGTGGACACCCTCGGAGGAGAGGGTGACTTTGGAGATGGAAGTTCCTTCATTAATTAACATTCACAGAACCTTCTCCAGGTGCATATTCTTCCCGGAATGTACAGAACCACAAATTTATTGGATTGTAGGGGTGCCCTGACAAGCTCTGGACTGAATCCGGCCCCTGGGTCCCGACCCCAGTACTGCCACTCGCCAAATGTGTGACCTTAGGATGGTCACTTTGTTCCTTTGGATCTTGGCATCCTCATCTATATTCATAATCAGAACTAACATTTGCAAAAACTTAATCATCTACAAAGCATTGTCACAGATATTATCTTATTTGATCACAGGAGCCTCAAATGGTAGGAATTACTTTTACATTTCAATTGAAGAAATTGAAGCTAGCGAAGAGTCCAAGTCCTCCCAGCTCTGCCGTGCTGTAAGATGGCTATTCAATCTAGCAAATAACATTTGGAGGCCACAGGCCATTTTCTTAATCTAAGAAGACGGAAAGGCAGGGGTGGGAAGGTGGGGAGTTGAGGGGACAAAGCACAGAAAGAGAAGGGAGAGAGATGGCAATATCGTCTCCTCTGTTCTGTTGCCTGGTGACAGGATGCCAGGGTGAATGTGGACCAGTGTGAAATATGCTAAGCTGCTGCCAGGCCCTTGGAAGAGTCTCCGGGGAGGTAAAGGCAAAGACAGGGTGGATGTCAGAGCGGGCCTCCTCTCCAGGTCTCACACCCCGGCCCCCAGGGGCCCTCCCCTCTCCACCCTTTCTTTCTAGGTAACTTGTTCCCGGATTACTGATGGCTTAGTTCCCCTACCCAGTTTGCAGAGGTTTTGCTTCCCTCTGTCTGCTCTGTGCTGGGCCCCATCTCTGTGAGAGGCCATGGGTGGCACTGAAGAAATGCAGGCTTGGAAGTCGCATTTGCCAGATATTCCCAGGTGCACATCAACCCTAGTGTGTCCTGCCAGGGGAGAGGTGAGGTCGGTAACATTGCTACTTGTGGAAGAAGCATCTCAAGGCATCTTGTCGGGCCTTTCCTGCATCTCACAGGGTGGGTACCCCGCCAGGTTTGCCTTACATGACCCTATTCCTGGCCACAGCTAATTAGTCCAAGGGTGGAAACATAACCCGGACCAACCAGGCATCTCAGGCTTCTGAGAATTTAGCATCAAGACCAATAGTATTTGGCCAATTCGTCTTTGCCTGTGACTAGAAGTGAATGTGTACTCCCTGGATAGGGGCCTGCCGTGGTCTGCCATGGAGATGGAGGCATAGAAAGCTGGTAGGGGAGAGGGCAGAGAAAGAAAGGCAGAGAAAACAGAGGCAGGCACTTGAACAGAAGGAGAGAGAAGAGAGGGTGAGAGAATTCTTCCTGAGCTGAGGGATTCCCAGGTCCGGATTTAGTTAGGTGCCTCCTGAAGTCTGACCAGACGCCTACTTTGAGCTTCTGCCTGGAATGAGTTCTTTGTACCCTTATAATAAACGCCTCCATTTTAAACCAAGTTCCAGTAGTTTTCTGATACTGAAACCCAAGAGCTTTAACCAACACTCCCAAGACCCTGGGATTCCCTCTTACACTCCTGCACGCCCCACCTCCGGGCTTTCAGAGGCTCTGCACTGCACCTCAACGCCCCCTCCAAAGGCACACAGGCTTCTCCCCATCCGCGCAAGCCACGCATTCCCTGACACAAGTCCTCCTGGGCTTAGGAGGCCCCTTGTGGCTTGATCCCAGACTTGAACAGGGTGCCTGCACGTGGCCCAGCAACCAGCAATTTCTCTGATTGCACCCTCTTTTCAAAGGGTGCTTAATTTGCCTGAGGGAGTTTCTCTTGTTTACCCAGGAAACATGTGCCATTATGATAATTGACATCTGCTGGAATGTTCTGCCAGCCTGGCCTGGGGCTGAACACTGATAAACAATCTCTATTAAGAGGCAATGAGGAGAAGGGACTGAGGAGGGGCAGGCCCTTTCTTCAATGGCGCCTACACCCAGCTCAACCAGCAGGGCAGCCTTCCTTCCATTCCTTGGCTTCAGTGATTTGCAAGAAGAGCGAATTTCTTTATAGTGTTTATAGCAATTCAGGGCCAGGAACGCAGAATGACAATGTGATGTCAAATCTTGGGCCCTCAAAGGAGGGCTCTCTTTTTTGGCATTTTGTGTACATTGTAGGCTATCTGCCTCTTTAGAAGTAAAGAAATGCACCCACCTCCAAGCTGGAGGTCAGAAAATCTGGGTTGCAAGGATTGGAGGATGCAGGGAAATGAATTCCCAATAACAACAGCAAACTGGAAGGATCTTCCCAGGTGTGACCTTGATATATGATCACCGTTATATCACCAACCGGCCCTGTCAGTGCCCTTTGCCCTGTGCAAACCTGAGTGCATCCTTAGGAGCCCTCGATGTACATCTAATAAAGCAACACACTAAAGAGATATAGTGGGTCAGCTAATTAATTCCAAATAAAGACAGACTTGAGTGATTGAACTTAAGAAGCAAATGCCAGGTTTTAAAAGACAACAAGATGTATCAGTAGATTGCAATGGTCTTGAATCCAGATCATTGCTGAACCAAGGAGGTATTCTTTGCTTTCCTGGTCCCACCTCGTACACACCTTGGGCACAGCCAGATCTGCACAGCCACACCTGAAAAGTCTGTGGTGTCTGAGAACTCTTTAGGGTGTCTTCAGACTTTGCCACTTACCTTGGAAAGGTCCACCAGGGTGTTGGCTTGATCACTCAGCTTCCTCTGCTCCATCTTGACACTCCTCAGTCTGTGGGAAAGAGTTGCAACAGCCATACTCTTCCAGGGCAGGTTCAGGCTTATCCCACAAGCAGATTCCACACGCACATCGATTCATCTGGTTTTGGAACCCAGCACGGGGACCTCGAACATGGGTGACAACTGACCAGAATCAAGGGTTTGTCGGGTCCCCAAGAGAGCACATTCTCGTGTCCATGCATGCTCACCTTCAGCCACTTTAGCCTCCTCGCTATTCTTAGGTCCCTTCCTCTCCTATGTCTTTGTCTAGGCTGTGCCTTCTACCCAGAATGCCCTCCTCAGCCTTTCAGGGGTTCCCAAAACCTCCAGGTCAAAATAAATGTTTTCACTCTCTGTGTTCCCATTCTACTTTTTAATACCTCTCTTACAGAAAGTGCCAGCCACAATGTGTTCTGCTTCAAGTTGTAATATGGTGTGTGTGTGTGTGTGAGTGAGTGAAATGTGAGAGCCCTTAGAGATTCTTACTCAGACCTTTACCTTCCATGCCTGGCAGTGGCAGGTGCCACAAATGAATAAACAGGCTGCCCTGGGTCCAGTTCTGCAGCCTATGTGTGGAGAGGAACAGAATGGGTTTCTTCTGTGTCTCTAAGCATAAAAGATACTGGTAGAGGTGTGAGGGTCCCGCCACCCCTAACTGAGTCATCTGATGGTTGAGCTGCCCCACATACTCACTGGTGAATAGCTTGGAGGAACTTCCTCTGGTGTTTTCTGACCCTGGCATGATCGATCTTCTTTAGCAGCTTCGTGTGTTTATAGATTAGCCACGTCTCCCGAAGGACATTGGCTGCAGCATTCTTGATCTAAAGAAAAATAAAGAAAGCAAGGTGCTCTCGGGTTAAATTTTCCTACATTCACATAATGTGTTTTTGGTGTTTGCTGATACGGTCTATCGTATGGTAAGGAAACCATTCTTCAGTAATCTATTTCCTTAATCAAGTCATGAACTCTTAGAAAAGGATGATTGAAATTCATCTCTTATTAATCCTGTTTTGGACACGGGAGGCTGGAGCCTGAAGTTGAGAGGTGTTTCTTATTTCTTTCTTAATTATTTTAGGACTGCCTCTCGACTGCTGTTGCTGATACTATATTTAGGTAGGCTGCATTAGCAAGACCTGGAGGCCTGGGGCTCCATTTAAATAGATAAATATAAACCCTCGCTGCCCTTGCACGCAGAGTTCCACGCTCTACCTGAGATTTCCATTTAGTGCATGTGGTACATTTCTTAGCTTCAGAAAGTAAACAGATTTCCTATCTGCTGGAGATTTTAAAGTGCCTCTTTGAAGAAATGTCTTTTCCACCAAATAGAACCATAGGTATCCACAACTCCATTGTTCTCTTTCCCCGGTGGCCAAAAACATTTACACTGAAATGACATGTACATGTAATTGGCATAAAACTGAAATAATTTCAAAGCCATGTCTGAAAATCAGTGAAGATATTCAGGTGTGAAACCAGAGCTGTCTCTTTCCCAGAGCTAGCTTCTTTGCTGTGCACCGCCATCACATATTTCAACATAGGACGCTGTCATCGGTTGACATGGAAACCGCTGATATCACCCAGCTCACGACTGAGCTGAGACATATCAATGGCATCCAGATGGCAGGGGACAAGGTTTTAATCCAAACACAGACATCTTCAGCAATTAGGAATAAGAGCAAGAGGAAACATTTCTTATTAAGCACAAACTAAACAGATTTTTGATTAACCATTCCCCATTTCTGTCAGCCATGCAAATTGGCACTGGCCCACAGGCCTGGGGCCTGGAAGTAAGTAGGCCAGCCTAGTAGAAATCAGGTTACTAGCCAGAAATGATTTCAATAAAACTGGAGAGTACAGGCCTGCTTCTTCAGACTGACATCAACAGATGGGACGTTGTTAAAATACTGGGACGTGTGGGAAGGCTTAGGAAACATTGTTTTGCAGGCTGATAACTTTGGTGTGTGTATGTTTTAAAAAATTTATTACTAAGGCTGGATTATATTTTTCATTGGCACTGAAGTGATAGTTTTAAAAGAACAGCTATATCTTCTCAGAAATGTTCTAAGTGACATAAATATTGCTTTTTTGTTCAGCAAAAACTCACTGTGAAAATGGTTTTAAATGACTTAATTGCCCACCTCTGGTACTTTCTTGCCTGAAAGGAAGCAGGTGGTGGTGAGTAGAAGCTGGAATTGATGAGTGTCCAGGTGAGGAGCAGGGCAGTGGAAGGAGGATGGGCCCTGGGGTTCTGTCTGGGGTGGAAAGCAGCCTCCTGGCAAAAAGAGGCAGAACAGAAGGGAACCCTCTCCACACAGTGCATATGACTGCTGCCTTTTGTAAGGAGAGGGCCAATGCGACACGTGATTTGTTCAGGTTCTCTGAGTGCTTAGCCTCCAAAGAAGGCCTCACAGAAAAACAGAGAGACAAAAGCCCTGCCCTACCTTTTAAGATGTGCAGCAGAACCCCAGCTACACACGTCTCCTCTTTGGAATGCTGACAGAGCCACTGGAAGTCAGTGTGTCGGTGTGGACCAAACATTTGAAATTGGAAAGACAGCGGGTGGATCCTTGCTCCTCCTTACTAAGCAGTTTAGGGGTAAGTGCTTAACTATCTGTAAGACGGGAAAACTCTTATCTCAAGGGTTGTGATGAGGCCCAAAGGAGGCAATGATGATGGTGCTCTTGGTGCTGAGACTAACAGCTACCACGCACCTGGGGCCGGGGATAGCGCATAGGTCTGGGTCTTCATGTGTAAACTTGGGAAATCCTCACAACCAGCCTATCAGGCGGGGTACAGTATTATCTCCAGTTTACAGATGATGAAACTGAGACTCCAGCCAAGCTCACGAAGTTATAAATGGCAAACTGAGTCAACATGGATTTAAGTGTTATTTAGACTGCAAACATGCAGATATTAGTTATTACCATCCACCCCAAACTCCCATTTAAAATATGAGGAAACAGCTTCCCAGACAGGATGTGAGGGCCAGAATCCCAGAGCTAGCTCCTGAGAAAGTCAAAATAAGAGCCAGGTCCAAGAAGAGCATCAAGTTTTCCTGTGGTCTGAAGAAAGAGCTAACTAGATTTCATCTGTATACAAATAAAATTATTTCCTGTTTCTCAGGATCAAGGAATTGGAAAGAACATTAGAATTTTTTTCATCATTGTGGCCTTCCCTTTACCATACCAGGACCTACACTCAACTTCAGTCCAAATGTCAAGTACTGAGATCACAGCACTGCCTGGGTAGCTGAGAGAGGCAGGCACATCATCTTTATGGGTTTGAACAGGAGGCCCCTGTGTGTTCGGGAAAGTGATGTTAAATGCAAGCCTTGGTGCTGACTCTGAAATTAATTGCCAGCCAACAGCCTGGCACAAAGCTAAGTAGATCAATATTTGCAAGAGACAAAGAAATAGGCTTTTAACTGCACTGTGCTTTCCCAGGTTGGCAGTAAATGCTGTTGTGACCAGGGTCTCCCTCTAATTCACCCGGCTGATTGCTGTGAGCAGTGTTGGGCTAGGGAGCAGCTGAGGTTGTGTGCCCCTACTAAGATGCACTGAACCCCTGATTGGGGCTTGGGTACCCTCCAGGCTCTTCTGATGGGCAGGGACACCAGAGCCAAAAGGTGCTCCTGGGGGGTGGGGGCGGGATAGGTCCGGGAACTGGGAAGGGCTGAGCAAGGTTAGCCACGATGGGATGGGTTCAGGGATGGTTAGAAGAGCCATTTGCTCATGCAAGGCTGGCTATGTGGTTCCCAGAAGCCATAAGCATATGAGCTGATGTTTTCTGTGGGTCCATATGCACTCTACCAAAAAGTTGTGTGCTCTCACTCTGATGGGGGCCAGAGAAGGCACTCAGTGACCTACATACTTTAGGAGTGGCTCTACAATTAATGGGCCTGCGCAAGGAAGTCATTCAATAAGATACTATAAATAATAGTGACAGCTAACATTTGTTGAGTGTTTACTACGTGCCAGGCTCTGTGCTAAACACTTCATGTGGCCATTGTTTCATTAGTCCTTGGAAAAACTTCACAAGTGGATGGAGTTATTCTCTCTTCCTTGGGCTTGTTACTAAACCTCACTGACAATGTTCTTTCTCATTTCTTCAAAAAACACTTAATGAGCACCTACAATGGGCAGGAAGTGTTCTAGGAAGTGAGCATACTGTGGTCAACAAACTGATAGCATTCCTGCCCTCAGGGAGTTTCTTGTGGAGACAGTAGGCAGTTTCTAATACAGTATCAGGTAATGAATGTTTCTGAGAAAAATACAGCACTTAGGGGCTAGAGAGTAAGGCAAGTGTTACTGCTCTGTGAAATGGGACTGTGGTGTTGACTATATGAGAATGCACTCAAAACACTTAGCCCAGAGCCTGGCCATAGCGCACTTCAATACATGGTGGCTTTGTGGGTATTCTCCCCCACCCCCCACTAACAAAAGAAAACATTAAACAGAACACACAATGTCTATTTCTTGAACACTTGGCCATGTCATCAATGTCAATGGCTTGGTCTGGCCACCCGTCTGCCAGAGTACCTGCCACTTGGTATTATAGAGAGGCTACAGGTGGCAGGAGGAACGTTTGGGACAGGATGAGAGAGGCACCCTTCGTGGGCCCCCAGAGCCTCCAAAAGCCACTGGGAGCCTTGGGAGACTAAATCCAGGAGCCGATTGGTAGACCCTGCAGGGAAAAAGGTAGCATGCCCATTGCTCTGCCAGAACCCCTCCCAGGAAGGGGAGGGGTGGGGAGGGGGAAGGGAGGAAGCCCGGAAGCAGATCAGCCTGGCAAGTGGGTGTGACAAGTAACTTCAAGGGGTCCTACAGGCTGAAGCTAGCTTAACTGACGGACATCACAGTCCAAAAACCTAGGCCAGCCTGGTCTTCAGATGCTTGATGTAAGGTGTCCCCATCACACAAACTGTCCCTTTCCCCGTCTGCCTACCCCACTCTTCCCTCACCCTCACCCAACAGACCTGCTGCTGGCTTCCTGCGGCTCCATTTCTGTCACCTCTCGGCTTACACCCTCTCTCCTTCCTTCCCCAGCCCATTTCACACTCCCGTCTGAGGCTTCTCTGCCAGCCTTTCCTGGAAGCCATCCCTGAGTGCTTAGAACAGGGTCCCCACCTCTGTGGCTGGCAGGAAATTGGGGCACAGAGCAAGGAGGGATTATTTCTGTGATGCAAAGTTGGAGTTTGAAGTTCCTTCTCCATAGCAACAGGGCAATGGATGGTGGTTAATTCTATAATGACACTAAGGTGATGCTCAGCTAGTTTGGAGGTAAATTGGCTTTTCTTCCCAGCAGGCTTGGGGCCATAACCACCATGCCAAGTTCCAAGGAACTCCACTGGGTTATGACTGGAGAGCCGCCTGCAGCCCTAGCTAGGACCCAGCAAGCTGCATTTGACTGTGGGTTCACCCCACCCATCTCTGGGCCTGAGGAGCTTATCTCTAAGGATCCTTCCAGTTCAAAACTCATGTTTCTTTAATTTTTGTTAAAGAAATATTGCACCCAACCTGTCTGGGTCAGAACCTTTGTGAGTGATATAATTTACAATCCCTTTCTGGGGAGAATTAGCATTCTTGGTAACTGTTCAATCACTTATCTGATAAATTTTAAAGTGATTAAGACCAATTCTGGGTCCAACCAACTCTCACTCAAGAGTCTACTGTCCTGCCAGACTTTCTGTCCATGGTGTAACAATGACTACCATTGTCTTTTTCTATAAAATACCCCTACTATGAGTAAATCCTTGAATTAGCCTGCCGGAAGAAAAAATTTATGATGAAACTCTGACGTGAGCCCATAATTAAAGAAAATTTTTCCTTAGCACTGATCAGTAGGTACTGGAAGGTTGCTAAAGGTTTCTGAGTAGGACGGCAGTATGTTCAGAGCTAAATCTTAGAGTCTAAAGACGTCCCCAGGAAGCAGAATACAAGACGACTGGGGTAAGGGAGGCCCCTGAAGAGAAATGGTAGCAAACAGCTGTGATGGTGCCAGACTGAGATGATGGTTAGATTAAGGATGGTGGGGTGGAGGGCCCGGAAGGGCCTGGAAGGGCCTGGAGACTGGAACCACAGAGGCGTCATTAGCCAAGCACAGAAGCCAGGAGAAGGAGCTAGTACAGGAAAGGTGGGGGTTTGGTTTTGATCTTACCCATTGATTTCATGGGGAAATGTACTTGGATGAAGTGTTTGGGGCAGGGACCCGTCATGGTAGGGGTAAGGAGACACAGGCAGCCAGTGGCACATACCAGCTGCCTGAAGAAGGCCTGGCATGGACAGCAGGTGTAGCAAACAGAACGTCTGGCCGTGGTGCCTTGTAAGCCACTGTGTCCGTGGTTTGCCTGTCTTGCCTTTGAGAAAGAAGAGCTTCTCTCTGCGGGCAGGCAGTAAGCACGAGGGCAAGGGACTCTTGGATGACCCATCCTGGTGTCCCAGATCACTGAGTGTGGTGTCCAGAAGGTGACCCCTCGGATGGGTGTGTTTAGTTACATAAAACGGAGAGATGGGGACATGTAGCACTGAGCGAGAGAAGAGATGGCGCTGTTGTGTCATTTCTACAGTCTCTTTGTGTGTCATTTACATGTATATTATCTAGTAGCCCAGAGGTTAGCAATAAATTATAATTACAGAATAACAATGGCAGTAACAGTGCAAAGTCAGTGTGGGAAGATCTGATTACATTAAGTGCAGACATGGCGTTGCCACCAAGGTTGACAAGTCGTACAAGGGAAAGAAGAAAAGCCATGCGCTTCAGGAACACCAGAAACGGAGTTCTTACCCTCTGCTGCTAGGTCACCATGCCCCCTTCCACCTACCTCCGTCCCCCCCACGCACAAGTAAGTAAATAAAAATAGAGCGACTCTAATGGGAAAGGCTGGGCTGAAGCCTCTACAGGATAAACAAACACTGGAACAGTCTGAGTATTTTTATGATTAACAGGTTACAATGCCTTTTTTTTTTTTTTTGGCTCAGGTATTTGAAGAGTTAAGGTTGCATGTACTTGTAAGAGATTGCTTTTATCTGTTAAGTCTACTGATCGTCCACTCCTGAGAGGCTTGTAATTGTGCCAGGATCGGCTCCTCCCACGATTGAATCCTTCTCGGAGAATTCACTGAGAGCTGATGAATAAATTGAGTTTAGCATCGCTCTGACCCGTGACTCCTTCCGGTGGAGACGGCGGACTAGGCACCCCGGAGGAAGAAAGGTGGGCTCCTCTGAGAGCAGGTCAAGGTGAGCTGAAGCCAGGGCAGACCACACCTGCAGCCCAGTTCCTTCCAATCAAGGTCATGAAAAAGAAATTTTCCAAGTCCCCATTCTGCCAGCTTTGAAAATCCGCCCTCTGTAAGAATCATCCCTTTTGTGTTTGTTTCTCCGGGAAAAGATATTAGACATTAAAGGGACATTTCAACAGATTTAAGTGTTCTCAGAAGAGTGAGGTGTTATTTGATTAAAAAAGGTGCCTTGCACTCTTGGATGAGCAATAAATATTTGTTGATTAGATTTTCAGTCCTACTTTGCAAAAAATAAGCAGACTTGAGGAGGATTTTAAAGAATTATTTTTGAAAGATTGAAATTAGTAACCACAATCTCATCTCTTTCTACAATTACACTGCAGGAACATTGTTTATTTTCCTGTCATATGAGGGAGCTGGCTTCCCTCGGCTTTATTTCCCTCCAGTGTCTGATTTACGGAGTGAAAAATGGAGAGGGCAAAGGCATCACATGAAATACAAAGTATATCCTTGGTTTCAGAAAGCAAACCCGAATAAACAGAGACTGCTCATGTCTCTGCTCTAAGGAAACAGCTTCTGAGAAGGTTCTGGAGGTAAAGCTCTCTTCTGTCACGCCTGCACATTTTTTCAGAAGAGAGACAAGAATATTTGCATTTATGTGTTCCGATGACTTTGGTCATTTGCTCAATACCCAGCATGACTTCTGCATGCGGCCAAAGGATCCTTAGGGGCCAAAGGATCGCAGCTGCATGACAGGGTTCTGGGCAAAATCCGCTGGCGTACCCACTACCCACGGCTACGGCCCTGGATCCTGCCATCTTGATGCTACACATTGTCTCCTTCTGTACAGCTCAGGGCCACGATATGCCATCTACAACCATCTGGATATCAACATAAGAGTATTTGCCTGGACCTGTTCCTTTTAACATCTGGGGAGGCTCTTCAAAGAATCCAATATATGTAATCAAAGACCAAACGCCATAAATAATTCCGCTGAGAAACCGGAGCGGCCCTGGCACCTGCGCGTTCCCCCGCTGCCTTCCCCAAGAGCTGGCGCGCACTCCGTCATTCCCCCTCTCTTTTTGTTCTCCCTTCCTGCCTTTGTCTCTATTGCTAACACATTTTACTGTGCTGCGACATTAATCACTGAAGTTTTTTCTCTAGCTTTCGAAAACCCAAACCAAAATGTGGTTGCTTGTGGGTCTCACCCATTCTAGTCCAAAATGGAAAGACTTGCTCTGCTGGCCAAGACCTCGGCCCAGGGGTTTGATTCTCTCTCATTTCAGTAAGAGGCGAGTTTTGCAAGAAACCCCAGTACTGACTGACCTTCGTTCAGCCTGCAGCTCTAAAGAATTTTCCATAAAAGCTGTCATTAGATAAACAGCTCCTGTCTTGCTCGTTTGGCCCGCTGTTTGTTATCCTGGAAGGCTCGTTTCTGTCTCTTCTAAATGGGCCTTTTCTTCTCTGACAATTCACTGGGGTGTCAGACTTTGTGCAGCTACACAACCTCCCCCTTCCTGCATATTTTCAGTTTTCATCCTCTTTAACCACTTTCATAAGGGCACAAGTGAGAAACATTATCCAGAAAACCCAAAAGGGGGAAAATTGGGTGATGACATTTTGATGAGCATTATTTAGGAATGAAGGCTCTACTGGGACGATCATCTTTCATTATTTTTTTTCAAAGAATTGGATTTCATACATTTCCAGTATCATTTTTAAGATTCTCTACTGCCCTTTCTTAATGAGAATCATGAAAATATTCAAGCACAAACAAAAACGGTCCCTCATACTGGGTGATTTATTCGGTACCATTAGGCAAGGGGTGCAGGTTACACCATCATAAGCTACAGACTTAATTATCAGGAAAATTATTTGGATGTCTGAACCATGCACAGGGATTTAACAGAAGACAGGAGCCCAGAATGTTGAGTCGCTGTGCCCATTTTGTAGAAGCTGTTCGCATGTGCCCAGGGCTTTCTCAACCCTCCAAGTAAAGGTATGTCTCTAACCTCTATCGCGTGACTATTTTTTTCCCGACTGGCTTCCACATTGGTCTTAAGTCCCCCATATGGACAGCAGTGTCTTACCCGTTTGGTGAGCTGAGTGTCCATCATGAAGTTGTGAACGTGCTTCTCTGCTTTAGTGAGTTCCAGCTTTCGGGCCACCACGGCCACCACCAGGGCAGTGCAGCCCGCGCCCTGTCGGGAACAGCAAGAGGACCATGGGGAGAGAGCACGTCAGTAAGAGACAAGGTTCAGGCAGACACTCAATGTGCACCATGCCCACTGTAGGGTTGCTGGGAGTGGAGTAGAGATTTGAGCTCTCTGGCTGGACAAGCTTCAGAACTTATTGGGGCCCTGATTCCTGCCCCAAGAAGGGGTCTGCAGCCCTCTTGGCTTAGCTGTAGGACTGACCTCTGGGAGACTGAGTCTTCACAGAACCAGCCACTTCTTAATGGAGCAGGGTGCTGGGTTGGGCTGAGTCTTTGGAGAACTTAAAACAAGGGACAATCACTTGGTCATCTGCCAGGCTGTGCTGGGAAGACAGAGCGTCCAGCACACACAGGCCCCCTCTCCCTCCTGCATATCTCAACCCTACTGCCATATCCAGACCAGGGACCAGGGGCCAGTTTATGCATAAAGGAGTATGGGTGAAACTTCTGCTGCTGGTGGAGTTTTCCTGAAAATAATCTAATGAAGAGACAATACATTTTCTCTCCCAGATTGCTTTCCAGGAGAACACTGGCTGGCACGAGTTATGTGTACACAACGACGTGCTTGCTCCCCAGCCGGGTCTTTTTACCTGGGTTGAGGCTGTGAGTCAGCAGAAGGAATGAGCGCTTCCTTGCTTTCACCAGGAGGCTCATGAATTCACCATCATGCAGAGATTTTAAACATGACAACAACCCTCCTGCCTCAAACCAGGATTTTTAAGGGAACCCGTGGAAGGCCCCTGGTATTTTCCAGAGTGGTGTTCCTGCTCTGCATGGGTAGTTGCATGCCAGGGACACACCGAGGACAGTAAGTCAGAGAAGCAGGGTTTCTCAGGACTCTCTTTGTCCCAATGCTTGATTGTCTGGGAAATAAGCAGAGAGTGGCACATTCCGACATTCTCCCAGTGGATTTTTAAGTCCTCTTCATTGTCTCCTTGACTGGGCGCTGGGGCTGTGAGACAGTCTCTCCTCCCTGGTTTTCTGCAGGCAGCGGAGTCAGCCCTGCTCTCGCCTGGCCCTTAGGAGACGGTGCATTCACTCCGGTCAGCGGCCACCGGCCTCTTCCTGCACACTGGACCCCGGATGGCCCTGAGCCACTCATGGGAAGAGATGATAAGCTCAGGAAATCCTCTAGATGCCAAAAGTAATTACAGTCGCCACAGAGCCTCGTTTAGCAGTGTGAGGTCCCAGGACTGCAGGAAATCCATCAGTGACATTCTGGGCTCATCGGAGCTAACACAATGTGTCAGATGGCAAGGAGTACTATTCAAGGGTATGTAGTCTGGACTGGAGTTAGGAGGAATGCAGATGGGTGGAAGATTCCCCTCCTCTCTCCTTTATAATCTCTCCTTTCCTCTCCCGCAGGTTGGCAAAGGCCAGCCTGTGTAAGGTTTTGGTATGGCTGAAGAGGGCAAACGCTTTCCCCTGGCTTTTCACAAGGGGAAAAACCTTTCACTCGTTAAAACCACCTCGTGTTTCTTGGCACATTTGTTCATTTGGTCAGCCACCCACTTCTAGCACAACACACTGAAAAGAACGGCATCTGTGTGAACTTTCCTTTTCTGACCTCATTTTCCGCTCTTGTGGAGGGACAGCCGTGCTTTCCTGGCATCAGTGGCCTACAGGAGACTCTGTGCCCAGTTTTCAAAGGCTATGTATCGGCAGCAGGACAGCTTGGTCTGTAGCTGTAATCAATTTAGCCCGGCCTTCAAAGCAAAAAATAGCTTAAAAGAAGCTGTCCTAGAGGGAAGACGTGTGTTCCGTTTCCCTTCAACTGGACCAAGTATAATCCCTCTCCTTTATGTGCAGCTCCAAAAGCACTTTGGGCTGAGAGCCCCAAAAGAGGCTATCAGTGTTAAAATGGAACATCAGATGGACAGGGCTCTCCCCAGGCTCCACTCTCTCTTATCTCCCCAGGGAAATGCTACTTAAATCACCCCTGAAAGCCATGGCAGGACAAGCCTGAGGAGGGAGTCTCCCCGCTCACCATGCCATTTGGGGATTTTCATCAAAACAATCATTCATCTACCACCCCAATTTCCAGGGTCTAGATGGAGTGCCCTGTAGCTCTTGCCATGACTCACAGACTAGCCAGTTGAATGCAGGGGACTTCTGATTAGAAGTTAGATGGTCTAAACTAAAGAATCATCTATTTTATATGATCCAGATACATTTCTGCATGGAGGCAAGAGGGTGGACTAGATGACATTTCCTTGTTTCAACTTAAGATGCCAAGACTCCCTTGTGGATAGTTCTCTGGAGGATGCTGGGTTCTTAACTCCCAAGTCTAACTTGAATAGATAGCAGTGGATACTCCTAACTTTATTTTTCTTTCAGAAAATCCATCATCTGGATGTAAGTAGAAAGTCACCAAAGTGAAGCCTAACTTGGTCATTTCCATTAAGAGGCACACTTGTAGAGATGGGGTCAGACATCAGCAACCTTCAGGAAGTGGTGGGCAGGGCGCTGAAATCCAGACTGCTGGTCCTCTGCAGAGAAAGAGAGAGAGAGAAAGAGAGAGAGAGAGAGAGAGAGAGTGTGTGTGTGTGTGTGTGCGCGCACACATAAGAGAGATAAGAGGGGAGAGGAAGGGAGGGGGGAGAGGGAAGGGAAGGGAAGACGAGGGGGGTGCAGAGAGAGAGAGCGGGAGCAGAGATGAGACAGGAAATTTGCTGGCCTGCATCCTACGCCGCATGGGACAGAACAGGGAAAGAGGAAAGCAAGAAGCAGAGGATAAGGGAAAAGGTCAGGCTGATGGGATTGAAGAGGAAGGCAGGAAGAACAAGGAGTCTGGACTTCAGTTAGAAGTGAATGGCCAATTTTGGCTCTTTAGAGGAAATAAAGGGAGCAACAGCACGGCATCCATCCCCTCCCTCCCGCTGAGCTCGCCTTCCTGTGGCAGAAGGATCACCTATGTTCCTTTGGGGATGATGGGCCTTTGTTCTTGGAAGGGCCGGTCAGTCTGACGGGGCCGCCTCAGCAGCCCGGGAAGGCTTGTGCGGCATGGGTTAGTTTTAAGAGATGTGCTAAGGACTTGGCTGATTTTGGTGAAAGAGCTCACACTGTCCTAGTGCAGAATCTCAGGAATGGCTGGTGGGCAGAGGGGGCATGTGAGGAGAGGATGGAATGGAACAGAAAAGGGTAAGCAGCTGCTGGAGTGACTTCTATGGGGTCAGATTATGGAGCAAATCCATGACTCAGCCTTTTGCCTTCAAAAGTGCCATGGCCTGAATCCCAGATGATACCAGCTGGATCCCCTGGGTTTTCTCTGTCCAGCTCCCAGTTCCACAGGAGGGTGGTGGGAGGGGATAAGGACCCACCTCTAATGAGGTCTTACTTTCCAAGGTACATGGTGAACAGAAGCACAAGAGTGGAGCGGGAAAGGCGTGCTGGCGGCGCTGGGTGGGGGGTGGGGGGAACACGCCCAATTCCTCTATAGATTTGGACCCCAGACCTGGTCTCCTCCACACCGGTCCTCCCACTTCTGGTTTCCAAGAAACATTTTCCAGCTGCAAAACTTAGAATCTGGAAAACAAGTGTCCCCAGGGAAAAGTATGAGGCGTTCTTAACAAAAGACGCATAAAATAAAATAAAACATAAATGAAAGTGACAAATGGAGGAGAGAAGCCTGGAGGATTTACAGTTGGATTCTGTTTCTGCAACAGATTCCATGTAACAACTAAAATAACATCAATTGGTTTGAAACCAAGGTGTTTCGGGGAGAAGTTCATCTTCTAAAACTGACATTAAGCAGATGTCTTGCTGAGCCCTCTTTTCCCTCCTCCCAGAATGACTCCATTTCTGCTCCCTTTACTTCATCATCTCTTTCCTTCTGCAGCTCAAAGAAGCATCTCTCATGGAGCCTTGGGGAGAAGCTCAGTGTCCCCAGCAGACATCCTGGAAGCCTTGTCTATTTGTCCCTAACTCAGGGACGGTCCACAGAGTGAGCTGAGCTTTAGAAAGTGGCTCTGTTGACGTGGGACTCCTGCCAGGCAGGCGTGGGGGCCCGAAGCCCTTCCAGATGTCTGCAGAGCCAAAAGGTCTTCAAGGGCACATCTTTCAATGTCGTTGTCATTTCCAATTCTGGATACTCACTATTGACGGCTTTCTCTCTGCCGTGTCATGGTCATCATCAAATCCTTTATGGAAAGACACTAGACTTGGATAGATCGGTTTTTTGCTGTGAAATCTCTCGAACATCCCGGGTCTGTGTCAACAATGTCAAGTTGTTCAGACAATTATATACCCTGCTTAATGGCTGATAATTACACCGTTACTGGGATTGCCGAGAGAAAACAATGATTAAGACTATTTACAGCCCGCGCACACAAACCCTTCTATCCTTCCTGAGCAGGCCTTGCCTTGGCCTGCCTGGTGTCCATGGCAACCAAACAGGAAGCCCTACCTTTAGTTAAGGCACTTGCAATAATAATGGGGAGATGTACACAGTGTTGGGAGGCTAGGGTAGGGGAGGAAGCGATTCCCAGCAATGCAAAACCCTTGACAGGTGTGACTCAGTCAGAAAAGTCACATTTGTTAGAAAAATGCCAACAGGGTTCCTCACTGGCTGACATCAGTGAGACGACTGGCTTTAATTTGGGTAAAAATACTGAAAATGAATACAGGAAACCTCTCTGTTCCTCTATACAAAGCGGTATATATGTAGACAATGGTTTTGTTCAAAGCAAAGATGAAGGGCATTGGGCTGTATTTTTAATATGGGAGGTGGGTACAGGTTTCTCTTCATCCGTTTGCTTTTTTTCCATGTTGATCGCACCCTCTCTCCATAGGAACAATACGCTCCTTCCAAGGAGCTGTAAAGACCTAGGGGCCATAAAGCGTGCTGAAGACCACAGCCCAAGGCAAAGGCAGGGCGGTGGGGGCCCAGGGCTCCTACCCGCCTCACTCAGCTGCTTCAGGACAGAAGCCAGGAAACACGGGAGTGAAGGAACCAGGAAAATGGAGATGGGATCACATCTTGGATGGGGCACAGCTCCAGGCTGAGACAGAGAGTGGTCGGTATTTAAAAATGACAGAGGCTCCCGGCAGGGCCCACCCACCTATGGCCCCAGCTCTGAGCCGGCCCAGGCTGAGCGCGGGTTCTGGGGCACGGAGCCCACGCTCCAGCAGCCGCTCTCAGGCAGGAAAGCTTTGGCCTTCGGGTGGCATTTCATTCCTTTCTGGAAAGAAGAATCGTTCCCTGGTTTCCTGGTGACAGCTGGAGCTGAGCCAGACAGACTCCTACTAACTGGTGGGAGGTGTTTGTTCTAAGGCCTTACACTTACCCGTGATTTATCGCGACCCCAGCCCTAAGCCTTTTGTCATTAGCTTCTGTTTCAGGCCCTGCCTGCTAATGTGCGCCTGTGCTAGAAAAGGGGCGAGGACTGTGTCCAGTTGAGACGACAGTGCTGGAGCCCTCCTCTCCCTGGACCCACTGCCCCTGGCCTCTGACTCCAGCCTCCTCTGCTCTCAGTGGCCCACGTCCAGCTGCTTTGTTACCCAGATCAGTGCCAGGAGGCCACCAGGCTGCTGCAGGGTGGGAGCAGGGCCACCCCCACCTCTGGTGAGCCCTTAACTCCTTTCCTGCTGCAGAAAGGAGTCGCTTCCATTTCAGAAGGAGGAGCTTTTCTCTCCCCATGGTGAAATGGGGTGATGGATGAAATCTGAGGGAGTCCTGAAAAGAAGAACTTTCACTGATGCATTGGGGGTACAGAGAGGGCACCCCATGGCGGGCTGCGGTAACAGCCATGGAGACCTAGAACTCAGCCACAGACAGCATGGCGTCTGTACCCCACTGGCCTCTGGCTAAGCTGTGTGCTTCTTCCTCTGAGCCTCAGTTTCTTCTTCTGGACACATGTGCTCACTCTGTGTCCTAGGAGTCTAGGAAGAAGGTCAAAGAGCAATAGCATTCCATCTAGGACTTAACGTGCAGGGCCAGGGAATGCCTTGTCGACTGGCCCGTGAAGGAGCAGCAGAGATGGAGATGCGGAGGGCTTTGCCAACACTGGTGGCACGTGCAACTCCTCATCACTGACAAACACACTGACAAGATGCATGGCGACTGTCCTCATCACCTGGCAGGGAGGAGGGCAGGGCAGTCTTCTAATCCCCACTCTGTACTCAGGAATGCTGAGATCAGTGGCTAAGTGCCCTGCTCAGGGCCCCCAGACTGCACTTGGAACCCACTCACATCCCTCCCATATATTGTGCTATGATGGCCATGTGACAGGCAAAGCTTTGTGTGGGAGCGAGGTGGCAGGGTGCTGGACAGGAGAGCTGCATCTCAAAAGGATGCAGTGCAGCTGCTGGCACCTTGGCAGAGACAGGTGGGGTCGCAGTCCAACCCCGATGCCAGCACGCGGAAGGCTCTGGCACTTGAAGCCAGAGCCTCACCATGCAGGTGAAGAAGCCAAAGTCTAGGGAAAGTCCAGAGCCGGCCCAGGGCCCTGTGGGCAAACCAGGACCCAAACCAGGGCAAACCTGGACCTGACCCGCCCAGTCCAGGACTCAGGTCTCTTGTGGCCCATTCAGTGCTCTTTCCCCAGTTCTCACCTCGGAAGTGAGTTCCAGCTCAACTTTATCAGACATGGTGTGAAGGTCTGTGGGGTCCAGGGGACAGGAAGGACACAGAACCACATGCCCTGATGCTCACTGGGTGGCGGTGGGTGCGGGTGGAGGGTTGGACCCACAGGCAGTTTCACCCAGCCTCTTTTGGGGGTGCTATGAAGATATCATTAACAGCCAGGAACCAGGACCTCCTCCTATCTTAGGAAAGGAAACCACGAAGTGAGAAACTGTTGTGGATTTCCCACCTGCCTTTCTGTGGCCCGTTCACTAGCAGCTGGTCCCCCACCCTGACCGGGAAGGGGCCCTGCAGTCTCAGTAGAGGGCGGGGCTCCTTGCAACATTTGGGGTTCAGCGAAGGCCGATGGGCAGAGAGGTGTACTCACCATGATACCAGTGAGCAGACAGACGCCTTTCCCACAGTATGTGTGGGGCACCATATCCCCATAGCCAATGGAGAGGAATGTGATGGAGATGAGCCACATGGCACCCAGGAAGTTACTAGTCACATCCTGCTGGTCGTGGTACCTGCCGAGGGCAAGACAGGAGTTAGTGCAACTGCCCTTCCCCAGAGCAGAGGCCGGGGACAAACCCCGATGGGGGAAGGAAGGAGATATTTTGCTGCGGCAGACACAGCCACAATGGGGATACACCCAGCTCTCGGTAGGTGACTGGAGGCGCTGTGGTTCTGCCCCCCCACCCCACCCCCGCCCCGGGTCCTGTCTGCAGCTCCCCGGCCCCAGCTCCCTATCGTGAGCTTGGTCCCAGACATAAAATGTTTTGTCATGATTTGCACATTACTGTAGACGTCCTTTTGGCATTGGTAAAATAGCTTGGGATGAAATCATGCAGTAATAAAATTTAGATTTTCCCTTCCAAGTCGACAGCCCAAATGTATATGCATGTGATTAATCTGAAATCACAAGCTCCCGAACACGGGAAAACGTCAAAAAAAAATCACCAGACTCATTTAGCAATTTCCCCTAGGAAGACTGATGAATCCCAAAGACTGGCACCTCCCGGGTATCTGCAGCAGCCAGGGCTGCCTCTGAGTTCTTCCCAGGGGACGCTGGGGTCTCTGCAGAGGGACAGCCTTCTGTAGAGCTGGATGGAGGCATGTGGCTCCTCCACCCTGGGGGGAACCAGCTGGAAACACATCACCACTGTTCCCTGATGCCCTTTCCACCCCGTCCTTGTCCTCCCCCACTTCAACCTCCAACACCAAGGCTCACTCTGTGCCAGGCGCTGAGCCAAGTACGGAAATACAAAGATGAGCCGGACGCAGTCCCTGCCCTCGGGGCTCTCAGCTCACGGGAGGGGTCTGCTGTGGATGCAGACATTTGCATGAGGGTTGGTAAGTGGGTGGGCAAGGTACCCCATGGGCAGGAGGGAAAGAGAATGGCCTTGACCCAAATGCTGGCAGGTTAGTCGGAGGCTGGAGTTTTCCATACAGGCCAGGGGAAAGGGTGCTCCAGCAGAGGGACCCTTAGGAAGGGCAAGAGCTCACTGGCTGCCCTTGGGGTGGCAGAGCAGGTCCAGGTGGGTGCCTTCTCAGAATGTTCTCTAACAGGATCAGCCTGAATGACACACAGGGACTTTGCATTTTATCCTGCAGGGATGTCACTCTTGATAAAATCTCCCCATCAGCCTCTGGGAGTCAGCTTGATGAGAACAAACCATCCTGGGTGTTAGGGCAGAAAGCCGTTAGGAACCTTAATCCGCAGAACTGAGTTGCCAACGAGGCTTACAGGAGTAAATGCACATATGTGCTCGGAACAGGATCGGGCACAAGGAGGCCCCAGAAAGCACTAGCTACTATCCTCAGCGCTCTCCATGCCCCCGACAGAGTCTGGCGCCCAGTGGGCAGTCGGTTAAGTGTTGCTTTTTCTCCCCTTACCCACCTGTGTCAGGTATGCAGAGAAGGAAGAGGTGCAGGTGCACCTGGAGACAGGCCTGAAAGGAGGCAGAAGCTCTGCTAGTCAGAAAGGAGGTAGGAGGCATGTGAGTCGGGGACCCCAAGGGCACAGTATGGCCGAAACCATTACGGACTCTGACTGTGTCAGTGGGAGTCACCCAACCTACCATGCGGCTGGCACTCTGTGTGCAAACACACTCGTTCTCACGGTGTCCTGCAAAGTATCCTACAGGAAAGCAACAGGAAGCACAGGGACATTGCCTGCGGACACACAGCAGTGACCCAGGCAAGGCCCTTGCTCCTTTCGCTGCTCCCCTGGACATCAGAGAGGCAGGCATGCCTGCTGTGTGTCTTGGGGAATGATGAGGACATTTTAGAGAGAGGAGGGCACCTGGGCTCCAGGAGCGGATGACGAGGTCGCCTGGGAGACCAGGGGCTGATTTTGGAAGACCTTGAGTTCTAGGATAAGAGGTCTGGATTTGGTCTTAGAGGCCTTGGGAGGATTTCGGTTCTTGAGCAGAGGAACGACAGGATGGCATGGCCCGCTTGGCAGAGTGGTCTGCAGGTGGTGAGAGGACGTTCAGAAAGATGGGACACATACATGGGTGGACTCCGAGGGAAAGAACTGGAGCTCAGAGTGGGGTTACGTATACAGCAACGGGCAACCTGTCTCTTTTTTTTTAAGTTGATGTTTGATTGCCTGTTTTATTTTTCTCTACATTCCCTTTATGTTTTTTGGGGTTTCTTTGTCATTCACCAGATCCAGTCCAACGGGTGCTAACTGTGTGTGCTGCAGAGAGGAGAAGCAGATCTCAAGGATGTTATTCATTCCTCATTCGCCAAACTTCAATGATCTGCCCTCTGACTTGGGGCTATAGAAGATGCCAAGATGAATGGGACAGATGCCCTCCTCTCCAGTGGCTTGAACATTGTCATGGAGATAAGACACACATGCAACTCACCAAGCAGGAAGTGATGAGCAAGAGAGCGGGGCTGGTGATTCAGTGCTGTGGGAGTGGAGAGGAGGGAGAAACTGCTTCCAAACCTATTCACAATTTTATAGCGGTTTACACTGTCACAAATTCACGTACTAATCTCATGCTATTTTTTGCAATAGAGAAATTTTCAGAGAAGATAGTTCTGTGTTTTTCTTTACAGGCTAAGGAGGAAAAGTGTAGTTTTTTTTAGGGTAGTTACGTATTATCGTTAATTTATCATTAGGGTGTGGACTATGGCTTTTTCACTTTTTAATTTTATGAAATAAGTAATAGATGCAAAAGACTATGATTGGGTAAAGATGGTGGATTAAACACACATGTCTACCTTTGCTCTGTCTTCGGGTCCCTCTACAATTAACAGTTTTAGTCCCCTGCTTTTAAAAATAATCAGTCACCCAGGAATCACCAGACATCTAAGGACAGACATCTCTAACATTAAAGACACAGACCAAACCAGGCAATTAAAGAAACAAAGAAAAAGAACCCTGGATCAAATACAGACCATTCACAAAGAACTCTTGCAAAAAAATCCTACATGTAAATATTGTAGGAGAGAGAAAATAAGGTATTGGACCCATGAGACAAGGACGGAATGCTATACCAAAGAAGTCTCTCTAGATGGAATGGAAAATGAATTGAGGGGGTCTCCTAAAAGGCATAAAAAGACAGAGGGATGAAAATAGGAGAGAAAATGTGAGAAAATTGGTGAATCAGCCTACCAGTTCAAATCATATTGGTTTCAGGAAGAGAGAACTGGGAAAAGGAAGGAGAACGAAGGAGAGAAATAATGATTAAAAAGAAATCACTAAAAAAGTTTCCCAGAACCAAAGGACACAAGTTTCTAGATCAAGGGTCCACTGTCCCCAGCATAGTGGATGAAAATAGACTCACACCAAGGCACATTATTGTGAAATTTCAGAACACGAGGGAAAAGATGATCCTATGGAGTTTCCAGAGAGAAAGAGAGAGAGAGAGAGAGAGAGAGAGAGAGAGAGAAAGAGAGGTCAAATGTAAAGAATCAGAAATCGGTGACTTTGGACTTTGTCACAGCAACATGGGAATCTAGAAGGCTATGGAATAAAGCCTTCAAACTTTTGAAGGAAAGCTATCTCCAAGCCAGAATTCTAACCCAAAGAGACCAGATGTCCAAACCAGCTAAAGTATTGGTTAAGTATGAGGGTAGAATGAGGCCATTTTCAGACGTGCAAGGCCCTCAAGGATTTGCCCCCTCTGCACCCTTTCTCAGGAAGTAACAGGAGGATGTGCTTCCTGAAATCAAAGGAGTCAGTCGAGGAGGAAGCCCCGGGATGGAGGAAACTGGAGACTCACAGAGCAGAGAGGCCCAGGGCGATGGTCCCCGGATGTCCACAGGACGGCCATGCACCTGTCAGGGAGGGCAGCCAGGCCAGACGGGAGCAGGTCAGAGGCCCTGGGAGACATTTCTTCAAGAAAATGAAAAGGACAGAAACCATGATGTGCCTGGACATGCTAGGAAGAGATTTAGACAATTGCCAGAATTTGGAATGGAATTTGTGATAAATACATAGAAAACTAAGCAAGTGAACAAACATGATAATTAACCAGGAAAAACAGAAGTTCTTCAGGAAAGGAAAAGTTAGCAACTTTTACTACAAGGCTCAACTGTGAATAGAGTCCATTAAAGTTGTCTGAGCAATGTAAACACTGATTACTGATCTAAACAAAATGAGGATATTATGAGAGGAGGCTGAAGGGACAGGACGAGCTGGAGGGGAAGAAAGGGGGCTGAAGGCTCATCTTCCATAGTAGAAGTGAACAGGTGATGCCCAAAACCGAAGTACCAGAAAGTAGGAATGCAAGCATGTTATTTAGAGACATGGAGATAAATACTAAAATTAATTAACAAAGGAGGTCAAGGTAGTTACCACTGGAGAAGGGTGAATGGGAAGAACTGGTAGAGCAGAGCAAAGTCCACAGAATAATTGCCTCTAAAATGTATCCATGTACAACTTCCATAATATCAAACCAAACCTAAGAGGGAAAACCAAAAATACATGTAGCATAAAATCAAGTTATGAAGCACAACAATGGAATAACTATTGCTGAAATCACAGTCCACTCTTGCCTTGTTGAATCGACTTGTGTGTTCTCTCCCCTGTCAGTCCCCTGTAATCCCCTAGAGGCAATCAAAATCACAAATTTCATGCTTATTATGTCCTTGTTTTCCTTTATACTACTTCCACATAAGTATGCATAGCTAAACAATGTATCATTTAGTTTTGCCTACTTCTGAGCATTATAAAAATGAAATCATATTATGAGAGTGTGGTAGCAGACTCTAAAATGGCCCCCACTAGTCCCCTTCCTCCTGGGCTGTTCACATACCTTTGTAATCCCCTACTCTTGAGTGTGAGTGGGACCTAGTAATTTGTTTCTATATATGTGGCAGAAGTGCTGGGCTATCCGGTTATAAGACTATGGCTTCTGTCTGGGAGATCTTGACCTTGTCCTTTTTCAGATTGCTCTCCCTTGGGAGAAGCCACCTGCCATGCCACTAGGTAAGGCCCACATAGTAAGGGACCACAGCCTGCCCACCATGTGGAAGCAGAAATCCTTAAGTTGAGCCTTGACGTGAG